CCCATTTCTCACGCGTTTTCTACAGCTTGTCTTTCTCTTACCAGTGTTTTTGAATAACAGCTTGTATACTTGTGATTCCTGATTCATTAAAAGACAGTATCATCTTATGGACAGTTGACTGGGATATGCAAGATTTTACAACATCTTTCTGGGAACTTTGGTAATGGTAGTGTTTCTTCATATGGCTGGATGCTGTGTAGATGGTATTTACATCCATAAGATACGGGTGTGTTGATCTTCTCGTCTAGATGTTATTCACTGTGTTGTAGATGGTATTTACATCCATAAGATACGGGTGTGTTGATCTTCTCGTCTAGATGTTATTCACTGTGTTGTATATAATTGTTTATGAAATCGGTATGTCTAAAGCTTTATAGCTATTTTATTGTAAAAATTCCTTTCTTCGACAAAATCTGTGACATATTTCTCTAGTTATAAGTCTACCTTGGAAGCATTTCGCTATCATGGCGCCACGATACTGTATTAGCATACGCAAGAAGTACGATTAAACCTATGTGGTATGAAGAAACACAACAGGCTTAAGTACTGTTTGATAAGAATAGAAGTTATATCAAGCTTAATACTTGTTGAATTTCTCGTGTAACTATGACAAAATAGGCTTGATGTAAGTACGCGTCTAATGGACAACATTGTAGAAGAAGAAAATACTAGTGTCAACACAAAATATATTGACAAAGAATAGATAGTATTTGTTATCACAACATTGTGAAAAAACTGAATGTTTTTTGTTTCAGCTACACGTTGCTCCAATAAAAGCTTTTTCACACGAATAAAAATTATAAAACTGGAAAAAAGAAGTTGCTTACTGCCGATACAAAAGAAATCAGGGATTCTTGGAAAAGCTCTCAGGCCGATACCAAATTAATCATGCAATATCTAACGATAGTTCTGGTAGGATAGGAAGAAATCCTTGAGTGAAACTAATCTCTCGCTCCGGTATATAAAACTAAAATAATGAATTATCACACTGGTGAGCTCAATTAGTTCGGCGATCCGGAAATTTCCAAACTTTTATTTTCACTTTTACGACAGCAAATAAAATATTAGATTTTTGGTTCTTCCATGGAGAGTCATTGCTTAACAAGATCTTTAAGTAATTTTCTAGTTTTATGACGTTCAGGAAAATTTGTTATGACATTTATGTTTTTATATGTATTGACGAACGGCGACGAATCATATTAGTGTCTTCTGAACATGTATACTTAAAAATGTCAGCTTATGTCTTTGCTCATCTTAGCCCCCAGCGGCACAGCAGAATGTCTGCAGACTTACAGCGCTAGAAAGCGGGTGGGCAGAGCACAGATAACCCATCGTGTTGCTTTGTGCTTAACTACAAAAAAAAACAATGCTCATCTCATTTCTGCAATGCAAAATATTTAACTTAACGTAAGATTGGTGTAGTTTCGTTCTTGGACCGGTGGTTAGAGCGTTCGATTCGCAATCCGAGGGTTGCGGATTCGAATCCTCGTCACCGAATATGCTCACCCATTAGGGTTGTTGTCCGGTCCAGCCACCCTAGTGTAAAAATTCTTGGCTAATACAAAATACCCGAGCGGCTGATCCCAAAACTAGTTGGGATTAATGTCGAAGGAAGGTGTTGTTTCATTCTTATTTTTCCTACGTTTCTAGCTTCATTAACCAAGTGGTCATACTCTCACTACTGTATAGTTTTTTAACACGTATGCTAGAGTCATTTTGGTAGTGTATTATTTTATTTCTCTAATTGTAATTTTTTACGCCTCTAAATCTTTTAGCTTGATGGTGTTTTTTTACAGTCTTATGAAGTTTTCAATAATAAAAGTCTCGAGCGTTTTATTTGATTTGTATAATTTAAAATCGTCCAAACTTCTAGCTATAGATAATTTATGATTATGTTTACAATCTAAAATCTAAACTCAGAGTTACAAGCATAAAATACCCGCGCTCCACTGCAAAGTTCAAAGGTTCCCCTCATAATTCACAGATGTACCGTTAAAATTACTTCATTATCTCAAATCATTTCTATATCGACCCCATTGGGGGGAGGGGGTTCCGTGCCCGAAACAAAAACACTTTGGGACATCCGCCCTTGGTATCTGAGTAGGTGTACATTGTTTGGTCCCGCTTGCTTGTTAATAGGGTTATGAAAATATTTTCGAACATCGCGAGGGCGTCTCTAATGCTCTAATAGGGCTCTTCAGCTCCAAAAATCTACTACTAGACTCCCATCAAGCATAAGTGACCTTCAAGGTGCGTATTATCCCCCTTTGGTACCCCCTCAGTAGTAGGCTATAGCGTATAGATAAGGAAACTCCCCGGGCTACCCCAGTTCCACAACTCATTCTTTAATTTCTGTAGTGCTTATTGGTGTATAGAAGACATATTAATACTGGACATAAACGACTTTATAACACCAAAATGTTGTTTTTATTTAATTAGACACTCAACGTTTCGCTTTACAGCTTTTTCAAGACAGTTCACTAAAACACAAACTGAAACTAACAGTACAAAGCTTCAGAGTTCCCCATCTGTTGGGAGAATTCGTGGAAAAACAAATTCACACATAAGTTGAATTAATATAAAGTTTATCTTCAAACTGATTATAAATGAAAATATTATTGCGTTGTTGTTTCGCATGTTACTACATTTTATAACTCTCTGATATAAAAGAGATATCCTATACTTAATAGTTAAGTATTAAATATATATCTCTGTTATGCCGTTTTACGTTGTCTTAAAACGTTGCTTTTGAACTTCATGTTTGACCTATTTATTTTCCGAACTTTTACATAGGTAAGTCTGACATATTTTCTTTTCTTTACTACATATGTAAATCTGATGCAGCTTATTTCATTTACTACATTTTAAGTCTGACGCAGCTTGTTATTTACTACATATGCAAGTCTGATACAGTATATATTACTTACTTCACGTATGTCTGATGGAATATATTTTATTTACTACACATGTAAGTTTAATTCAGTATATTTTATTTACCACACATGTAAATCTGATGCAGCTTATTTCATTTACTACACATGCAAGTCTGATACAGTATATATTACTTACTACACGTAGGTCTGATGGAATTTATTTTATTTACTACACATGTAAGTTTAATTCAGTATATTTTATTTACCACACATGTAAATCTGATGCAGCTTATTTCATTTACTACATTTTAAGTCTGATACAGTATATATTACTACTACACGTAGGTCTGATGCAGTATTTTTGATTTACTGCATATGCAATCTGCTGCAGTTTATTTGATTTATTACATGTGTAAGTGTGATGGAATTTATTTTATTTACTACATATGTAAGTTTAATTCAGTATATTTTATTTACCACACATGTAAGTCTGATGCAGCATATTTTATTTACTACATATGTAAGTTTAATGCAACTTATTTAATTTATTAAGTTTTCTAAACAACTGTTTTTATTAACTTAGTGTTGTTTCATGTCACTTTTACAACGTAAATCTTACTGTGCCCCAACTGATGTGTCTTTCATCTTAATTTTACTTATTTTGGATATTTATTTGGCATTTCTGTTCATGGTCTTTCGGTACTACTGAAGTTTATTTAGTTAATGACAATATTTACTATGCTGCTGTCTCAACTAATTTCTGGAATATGAAATATTTTATCTTTAAGTAATAATGTTTTGGTGTTTTACATTTCTCTGTAAAGTAAAATTTTGTGAACGTCTGCGTAGCTAAGTAAATTTCATATCGTTTCATCGAGGTTAAAGAATTTAAATTTTGAATTCGCAACTACGTTAGCCTGGATTTGTTGAAATAAAACAAAACAAAGAAACAACAACAACAGAAGTTGATTGCCGTCAATAAAAATCAAACACAAAACTGAATCCGTTAGCAATAGTTTGAACCAAAAGTCTTCATCAGGCGCTTACCATCAGTAAATGTTGCTAATAAATTCAGTTTTTCTTTGGCTATTATCGTTTGACTTTCCTTTATTTATTTTGTTTTACTTAAACATATGTATAAATAATCTAAGAAGAATACTAAGATACTTAAACCAGTTAGCCTGATGTTGCAGCATTTTGTTTCGAGAATATAACTTTTAGTTTTTGTTATGTTAACATGATGTTGCTTCTTTTGTCTCAACACCTTAAATTATATTTTTGTTATTTTAGCCTTATGTCTCTTCATACTGTTTCAAGAATTTAAATTATATTTTTGTTATTTTAACATGATGCTGCTTCTTTTGTTTCAACACTTTAACTTTTATTTTTCTTATGTTAGACTTGTGTTTCTTCATATTGTTTCAACAATTTAAATTACATTTTATTATTTGAACATGATGTTGTTTTTTGTTTCAACATCTTAAATTATATTTTTGTTATTTTAGCCTTGTGTTTCTTCATATTGTTTCAACAACTTAAATTACATTTTATTATTTGAACATGATGTTGTTTTATTGTTTCAACATCTTAAATTAAATTTTTGTTATTTTAGCCTTGTGTTTCTTCATATTGTTTCAACAACTTAAATTACATTTTATTATTTGAACATGATGTTGTTTTATTGTTTCAACATCTTAAATTAAATTTTTGTTATTTTAGCCTTGT